ATAGATAGATAATCTTATAAATATTCAATACTCTGACTTTATTCATAGATATTCTTAAAAGATACTATCATGTCTATTTATAAATTTCACTATCTCTGTTCGTTCTTCGTGCTTTTATACACGTTGTAATTTACATCTTCGTTTCTGGGTCGCGCGATTAATCAAGAAAAATGGAGCCCAACCGTAGCGTATTTGCGGCAGCGAGAATTCGTCGGATGAAAATGTTTTCTGCCTTTTTTCCTCTCCCGCCTTCTGATATTTTTCTCCTATTTCGGAATCGGATCTTTTCACCGCCCCTTTTCCTCTCTTCCTTGGTTTTTTTTTTTTTTTTTACCTTGGCACGATTTTCTTCGCGCTCCACTGCCTCGAGAACTCGCTCTCCGCGCCATTCTACGCACGCATTTGTAATATCAGGAAACCGCGGGGTGTTGGTGAAATCTTCGGTTAGTATTCTCGAAAACGTAAAGAAAAGGTGAGTCGAGTCTCGAGGGTGCGGTTTTCCACCTCATTTCCACGCGAGCACGGTGAAAACCCCCGATTCTAAACTCCCCCCGAAGAAAGAATGAAACTACCTCTACTACTCTTTTACCGTGCCTCGATCTCCTCTCTGTCTTTCTTATTCGATTTCTTCCATTGTGCCTTGGCAGTCATCGGCGAGGATCATCCGTCGAATCGGATTTTAGCAGATACCTTTTTTTTTTAGACTTTCCATGCTTTCCTAGAGGATTCCTTCGCCCCTTTTTGAAGATCTTCAAATACCATCCCCTATTCCTGGCTCCGCAAAAGCTCTTCTTTCTAAAGAAAGTTACTTGTTATTAATTTTCATTTTTACAATTTAACACACTATTTAATAATTAATCAATAATAGATATATTATATCATTTGCGTGTATCAAAAATCTATAACAGTTTTACAATCGTGTCAATCTTGGATGGAAATCACAGTAGATGATAATCTAACGGATTGAATAGATGTAAAGGAAGGAGAATAAGAATCGCAGACAATTTTCAAGTGGGTCCTTTTCTTTCTTTTCATTCCCGATCGGAAGTGTGAAAGGTTCTCTCCCGGCTTAAGTGGCCGGATCCATGACACGTTTTGATTCCTGCGGAACGTATCAGGTTTCGGAACGTTCGGTGGCCGTGTTCTTCTCTTCGGTTAGGAAACGATCTCGTTTCTGAACGCGTCGACTTGTTGACCCATCTACCAGCCACTCCCGAAGGATCCGATTTCACCGACGTTTCGAGGACTCGCGACTATGCTGACCGTCTAGGCCTGCAACCGTGGAATCCTCTTCAATTGCTACCTCCGGAATTTTACCTCCGGACCATCGCGTCGAATTTCGCGGTTCCGCTAGAAATTTGAATATTCCTCGCTGTTTGCTCAATCATTTCCGTTCTTCAGTTCGTTCTTCGTTCGAATAATCGTCATTTTTTATCTCGTCCTGAAATAATAATCAAGTTATTCGAATTTATAAATAAAAATATCGATTAGATATTTTACTGGTATAAAATTAAAAAGAGATTATACGTTAAACCGAAAGATATTTAAGAGAGAATATGGCCAAGTCCAAAAAGTGGTTTGATTCCATTTATCCTCGACCACGAATTTTAACGTGTTCTCGCATGGTCATGCTCTCCACATCCAGAGCCCTCGAATAAGCCCCCTCGATTTCGTAATTCGTAGGAAAGTCTCGCGGATCGGAGGCGACAGAGACGGATGATTCGCGCGCTGTCTGATGAAAAAAAAAAGGGAATTCGCGTAGGACAGAGAAGAAGAAAAAAAGAAATGGAATAAAAAGAGACAAAGGGAGAGAGAGAGAGAGAGAGAGAGAGAGATGATATCCCTCTTGGTGTGTAGCATTTGAAGGAGACGACGGTTCCCTTTGCGAGTAGAGATCCTTATGGGACTCGGAAGGGGCATATTTACAAGGAGAAAAGAGAGGAAGGAAGACAAGCGGAGGAAAAGAGGAAAGATACGCGACGTAGAGGGGGCCACGAGGAAGAGGACGATGGGAGTGAAGCATCCTCGACAGTTCTAGGATACTCCTTGCCGGTATCCTGGGGTCCTCGCTGCACAAGGACCATCCTCTTCCTCTTCCTCTTCTTCGTGGCGCACTCCATCTCTCTCCTTCTTTCACGGTTTGGATCTTCTTCCTCTTCTTAATTCGTTCTTCCTCCCATTCTTTTCTCCCTTCCTTCCTTCCTTCCTTCCTTTCTTCCTTCTTTCCCGTTTGCCACGTTTTTATCTCCTCTTCCTCTTTTGCTCTTTCTCTTGTTTTCTTAACTCTGTTACAAAGCCGAGTAGCCACCTTTTTCAATGCACTTCTCGCTTTTCAGGATCCGTCGTCCATTCGTCGATTCTCGCTTCTTTATGCTCCCTTTAACTCTTTCTCTGTTCTTCCACTTCTTTTTTTCGCTTATCTTATTCCTCCTCTTCTGTACCTTCCCGTCGGTCTATTCGGGCAAAGTGTGTGGGATTCGATATCACCTAATCACGATCCTCGAGCAGGAACAGACTCTTCTCTCGACGACTTTTCGACAGCAGAAGAGGCGTGATTGTTTTTTCTTCTGCTGTCTGTTCACGAGCGTTACCTTTAATGGCCTTTCGATACGGCCTTACTTTAAGGACTTTTAAACGACTTGGTGTTTGGTACAACAGTAGTTGGGTTTATTTATGAAATTGAACTTAATTTTTCTGTCTAATGTAATAATTTAACGAATGTGAATATTTTCCAATTTCCAATTTCCAATTTTCAATTAAGTATTATATACATCGAGTATTATTAGTTACAAATCTTTAATTCTTGGATTTATTATTTTTCGAATTTTATTATCCAGTTTTTACTATTTCTTTTTTATTTTTTTTAAAAATGAACAATTTTCATTTTCATTTCTTTATTATTATCTTTTTTTATCTAAAATATTTTCTTTAATCAAATTCTATTAATAAAATTCATATTTTAGTTTGAAAGAAAATCAGTTTGAGATCGATAAAATAATTGAAAAATCATTTAAAATCGTGTTCTAATCGTCGAGTCAATGCTCTCCCCTGTGATCGTAAATATGGTTGCGGTGGTTGCCGAAGGAAAAGGTAGCGTGGATGTAAACGCGGCCATAGAGGACATGAGAGCGGCGGAGGTAATGCGCCAGCTGAGGCAAGGGTCCTTGCTTTGACTCCAAACTCACCAGTATAACTGAATGCCTCTCTATAGGCCGAGTACGTGCTTCTAAGTGCATCCTGATTTTTCGAAGCTTTTTGATTATGCCTTTCCTTCTCTCATTCTTTCCTTCTTTCATCCCCTCTCACTTTCCTGCTACTTGTATTCCCATTCTTTCTTCTCGCGTCTTTCCAGCTCTGATTGATCTATAAACGGGAATCAAGAAAAAGATATTACCATAATTGTTTTTTGATTTTTAACTCGTAATATTAAGGTTAAATTTTCTTTTTTTAAATTTATCGAATATATCAAATTTCTCAACGTGTAACCTACTTTCATCACGAGATTCTTTTGTCACCAATTTTTTTTCATGAATCTTCAAAATTCAATCAGGGAGAAATATTTTTTCTGTTAGACAAATGTTCTTTCTTGATTTCTTAATTCCAACTTCTTAGAAGGCGAAGAAATCGATTTACGGATTGCCACGGGCTTTTGGACGGCACGGGTCGCGGTTGGATCTCTTCACAGGTGCACAAGTAGCTGTGTTGATTTATTTGATAAATGAGTAGTGGATAGGGCTTTAAGCGGGCGAGAGAGAGGGAGGGCTCTCCAGCGGAGAGTCCTACAACGCCGAGCGCACTACTCTTTCGCTCCTCTGCTTTCGTTCCCTCTCTTTCCTCCCTACTCGTTTTTTACCCCAACTCCCTCTTGCCTCCCTCAAATCAAACGTAGAACCAGTTGGACCGACATAGGTCCCGCGAGAGCGACTCAAACACTCTCACTGGCGGTTCGTCTCTGTTACTTTCGTCATTCACGCGATTTCCACCGCTTGTTTTTCGCGGCATCTTGCCTCCTCGAGCTATCCACCAGAAACAATATACTCCTGAAAAAAAGCTTTTGGAATAATCTCTTACAATCATAAAAACATGTATTCGTGTTACAGACATTTATGATAATTTTGCCAACAAACAATCCATAAATCAATCCTTCCAAAGGCTTTAGAGAGAATAAGATAAAAGTCTTTTGGAACAAGGACGCTGCACCGTGAATATATAAGATAAGATGCAAAACGGCTGAGCAAGCACGCAACGACGAAGCCAGCTATGCAGATATCCGCGTTTTTCTTCTCTTTTACCAAAACCGTTTCGCCGATATTCCGTCTTCTTCGTGAGAGG